TGTAAAATTGCGATTATTCAAGTCAACATTCGATTATTTATTTACGAGTTCAAATTAATACATAATTTAAGTCAATTCACATCTCATTGTTCGTTTATGAGTTCTATAATTAATAAATTCAGGTGTATATAGAGAAAGAAATAGTGCTAATGCATTATAAACATTATTTAAAATATGAAAAATTATTTGTACGATTAAAAAAGTAATCGTTAGAATAATATACGAAATAAAATAGAAGGAATGAAAAACAAAATTTCTTTTCTCTAAAATTATTTATGATTTCATTTATATATTGTTCATAAATTGCGTTTTTTTCCCGTTCGCAAATGCCATTTATTGCAATAAATTCGTTTTAAAAGAAAATAATTTAAACTTATTGATGGATTCAAATTAATTTCGTCTATAAAAAATATCATAAATCATTCACACGAACTAATATTGCTAATGTAACGTAGGATTTAATTTGAATTAAATTGAACAGAGCTTAATAAATGAGTGTAACATTTGAAATTAAATAGGAAATTAAATGTCGCAATTTCAAATGCATAATAATGGATTTTATTAGAAATGATATTCGCTATATTGTAGAAAAATAAAAAAAATTTTTTTTTCGAATTCGATTTTTGCGACATTTCTTTGATGGAACCAACAAAAAAAGATAAGTCTAAATTTTTTTTATCTGTCGTTAATCAATTCAAATAATAGCGCTTTGTGCATTTTAAATCTTTGGCCTGCTCATTCAACTGTTCAAAATATTCTGAGGCTCAGCAGTACATATTAATCACTGAAAGACACATCGAGAATGACTGGATTTGGTTAACGTCTAAAAATAGAATCTGAATTTTTTCATTGGAAATAGCCAATTAATTAATTTCATTTACTAATCAAAATGCAAAATAATGAAAAAGTCTTTCGTGTCACAAGTTATTAGAAATTTTCAATGAAATAAAGATAATTGAATTGTATAATTATTTCTCTCCCAATTATACATAATTTTTGTCCTAATATTTTAAAAGCATCTTATTAAAATGAATTAAAAATTTTTTAGACTTCATATAAAAGGAGTAGACGAGTTCATTCTCCTCACTTCATTCTTTCACATTTTAGTTATTTCACTTTTTTTTGAAACGAAATTTTTTAATGCATAATGATGATTTAGGTGAAGGAAGGAAAAGAGGGAGAGAGAAAAACGGCGAGATGAAATTTCTCGATTAGATGTACAACTATTATCCAATTTCAATATAATACTATTATTATATTTCTTACTTGACTTTTAATACTTTTTTTTAAAAAAAGAAATTTACTTTTTTCTGGGATAAAAGTTAATTTTTTATAAATTTTTCAAACTGAAATTTTTTCCCTCATGAGAATGGCTTTAAAAATTTGCATAAAGAAATTGAGATATTCTAATTTCATTCCTCTTCATTTTTTTTCACTCATTTTTCAAATGACAAATCATTATTTCTCTTTCGCAATAATCAAATAGTAAATATTACTTTAAATGACAAATTACAATCATTTGACCTCAAGAAATACATATCTGATGAAACTCTTTGAATTACTTATTTTTCTTACTTTCTTTAATAAAAAAACCCGTCTAATTACTCCTTTAAATTTTAAATTAATTTAATAAAAAAGAACCTTTAAGTGATTGCATTTGACTAACGAATGGACCTTATGCATTAAAAAAATTTCATTAAAAAGTTAAATATATTTATTTATTCTTTTTGGTTATTTATGAGAAATATGAGATTAATTAAAAAATCAATTTCGTTTTCTCCTTTTTTTTTCATTAAATTCTCATCTAAATCAATTCAAATAAAATGAATTTATTTGGGTCATTGGGTCATGTCTAATATGAAATTATCTTTGTCGCATTCCCATCAGAGAGTTATTATAATTTGAAAATAATAATTAGGAACGATTTTCAAGTACAATTGGTAACTGCATGAAAATCAAAAAATCATTAGATTAATTTACAGTATCCTTCAAATTATTAATTAATGGAAGATGTCGCATATTTGTCATTTTGTGCAACGATTGGAAGAAATTAAATTAATTTAAATAAATAAACCGGACAACTAATTAGATTAAACAAAGGAAATTGGCAAAAAAATAATAAAATTAAAGGAGAAAATAGGAATAATTTTACAAAAATGCATATATAATATTTATGATTATATTTAGAATTGTCAAGAAATTTTAATGAAATAAAATTGTGAATAACTTAACTACCCCAATTACTTTTCTTCAGGATGTAGTGAAAGATTTAAGAAGAATTTAGTTTGTTATAAAATCTAATTGGTAATATTCGTTCAGATGAGAAAAAAGCGAAAGTGAGAAAATAACAAAGAAATGTATGATTGCAAGTGCATGCTGCATGCAGATGACAGCAGAAAATGAGGGAAGGATTTTGGCCAAAGGTGAGTAAAGTATATGAGAATTGATAATGAAGGAGTGACATTTTCACCTGTAAAAAAGTAAACATGCACTTATCAATTTAAATTGGACAAATTTAAATATCATAATCGAATTGTTAAAATTGTTAGTGAATGGCGTTTAATTCCGTTTATTCTTTTCATTTTTGAGTCAGAAAGGTTAAATTTATTTTAGAAAAGTATGAAATTATTTATAGTTATAATAGTTTAGTCCAATATACATTTATTAAGCTGTCATTTTTTTTTTTTTGAAAAAAGCTTTTTAAAAATCATTTCTTCCTGTTAATTATTCATAGCTATAAGTGCTAAAATTTTTTGTTTGAATTTGTTAGCATTTTTTTGCTCATTGTTAGCATAATATGAGATAATTAAAAGCGAAAAAAATTACTGCATAAATATTTTTCATTTTAATGAGTGATTAACAAAGGGCGTAATTAGTACAGAAAAAAAGCATATCAAATTAAGGTTAGATACTTTTTTTGACTACGATGTTCAGGAGAACTGTATTCATATACGGTATGATTTTATTGCAATCAATAAGAGATGGTGAATGTTGTGGAATGAAGCGAGCGATGAAAGAAAGATTAAGTAAGAAGTTTTTATATTTTAGGATAAAATTTAGCAATTATTTCATCATTTGGTCGAGAATGAATAAACTTAATGGTTATCTATATAGTGATGTTTAATTATATAATTTAAAAAAGTGGTTTTTATAAGCCATTTTATAATATAACGTGATATCAAATATCAAACAAAATTAGTTTTAAGCTTAATTAAGTTTTGTTTGTTTATATTTTCAAAATTTCATTTATTCTTTGATTTCCAATTCAAATTTTCATTATTAAAATAGAAGACACAAATATCTCTTTCTTTATTGAATGCGTAATTTAATTATGTCGTACGTGTACTTTTTCATGCAAAAATTTGTTTGTCTAATTTACTGCCAATCAATATTTTCCATTTATATATTATTGATATTTCGAACAAATAATATTAATATTATTTTACGTTCACGAAAAATAAAATATTTTATCATTTTACGTTCACGTAAAATGATGAAATATTTTT